ATGAAGATGCTGAAAAGCTTACTCTAGAAAAAAAATATGCATATAAATGCTTTTAATTAGTGAAAAAGGTAATTACGTGCATTTCTATATTCAAAAAAGGATAAGTTCCCATAAAATATCTAGAGAACATTTCAGATTCTTCATTTCTTTGACCTCCCTTTTTTCACAGCATTTCTTTGGCAGAGTTGTTTTGGGTTTTTTATTAGCACCTCACTTACTTTCTTCAATACTTTCTTATAAGCATTTCAAATGCTAACAAGTAGAGTTTCCCTCCAATACTTCTTTAGACTTGTGAGAGAAAAAAGTGCTTATAAACAAGTTGAAGAATAAGCTCTGCCAAACAAACAGTCATTGAGGGTCATTAGCTCCCCTGCACTTATCAGTCAAATGCATGCACATTTGCTAAAGCCAAGGTATAATACGATAATATTTTCAAATACTTCATAAATGACCCCCTCCATGCCTCTTATCTGCAAAGATATCTTAATCACAAAGGCAGATAAGAAATGTTATAAAATTGTATCATTTGATGAAGTATTCCATAAGTTGATCAGTACAACCTCCAGTTGAAAGCAAATTTTGGTTCACAAGTTGGAATTACATCATTATTTGTTTCACAAAAAATGTAAAGCTCTAAATGAACAGAAACCTTCTAAAGCTCAGCTAACTCATTGACATATAATTACATTTGACATACAAAAAGCCCATTTTCCATAGCCTCCCCTACCCTCTACCTCGTCCTCATCTTCTCCTATTGGCATTGGCACAGGATGACTCCATGAACATAACTTCAGCCAGTTTATATTGGCATGTAATGACTCCATTAAACCTTATAAGCAATCAAAATTATGCATATAGGGATGGAAGAAATGAAGGACTTCAACTAGTCTTCAACTTTTCTTTGCAAAACATAGAAAATAAAAGCCAGAAATCAACTAGAATGTCAAATAAAATAGAGCAAGTTAGATGTCCATTGTACCTGCAGTGACTCCTCAGTATAGCTTTCTTTCACTTTATGCAAGTTAGATATTTCAACAAAAAAAGAGCTTCCGCTTGAATAACCCATCTTCCCATCTAATGTAATCTTTGCAACAGACTCAAGGACACCCTCATGGGAACTAGACCCAGACATGCTGGCAGCAAGACAGCTACTAGGAGAAGCAGATCCACCAGAAGCTCCACCAATGCTATTATCAAATAAAGGAACAATAACCCAGGCGAAGGACTCTCTGTAAGGCATAATTCGAGACCACACCTGCAGTTTCTGCCTTTCTCTCTCAGTCAAGTGCACCTGTTAAGGAGAAGATAGAGAACAACAATAATTATAAGGAATTTATTTGAGATGCAGTGGGTAAAATGTGCAATTACCTTAGAAATGATTACCATTAAGCAATAACAATAGTCAAAAACCATACAGCTACTAAAATAAATCAAAATTATATTTGTTTTCTCCTAGCTTTCATCAACTCTAAAATATTAAGAGTGTCCTACAACAAACTTGATGTTCAGTTCAACATTAGTGGCTGAAGATCTACCTCATATTCCAATAGCCAAAACTATGTTGCCTCACACATGCAACAATTCTCAACTGACATAGTTTAAATTATTTATAGACTTTCCTAATCATCTCTTCACTAAAATGAGAACACTTAGCA